CAAAAAATGGTTGTCCGGGATCCCGGACAACCCCCCTACCGGACGGTTGGGGGAGACGTCCGGCCGAGACGTCCGGCCATCGGACGACTGGTAACCTAGTTTTTTTTGTTAATTTCAATCAATCAATCAATCAATCAATGATCGCTTGATTGATTGATTGATGGATGGATTGATTGAAAGCGGAGAATATAGAGGTGCAAACGCAGGGGGACGGGTGAACGTCGGAGGTGGGGAGCCCCCGTCCTTTTTCTTTTTTTCTTATTATAATTTTATTTTTTCAATCAATCAATCAATCAATCACGTCGGGTGCCATCCCGACGTGTTCACGATCACAGTAACTTTTTTTTTTTTTTTTTTCAATTCAATCAATGAACCGAAGTTGTTTGGTGGATTGATTGATTGATTGATTGGATTCGGGGATTGAAGGGTGCATTGATGGAAGCGGAGTTGGAAGCGGAACTGGGGGCGGAAGCGGTTTTTTTTTTTTAAGTTTTTTTTGTTAATTTCAATCAATCAATCAATCAATCAATCAACCAATCTTGATTGATTGATTGATTGATTGATTGATTGAGTTGGGTCGGGTGCGGTCCCCACGTGTTCGCGATAGCTGTAACTTTTTTTTTTTTTTTTCAAGGGGTTTTTTAGAAGTTCTTTTTGTTAATTTCAATCAATCAATCAATCAATCAATCAATCAATCAATCAATCAATCAATGAACCAATCTTGATTGATTGATTGATTGATTGAGTTGGATTGGGTGCCGTCGCCACGTGTTCGTGATAGCAGTAACTTTTTTTTTTTTTTTTCAAGCAATCAATCACTCAATCAATCAACCAATGAACCGAAGTTGATTGGTGGATTCGTTGATTCATTGATTGATTCATTGGAAGCGGTGGCGGAAGCGGAGGGGGAGGTGCAAGCGGGGCCGGAAGCAATTTTTTTTTTAATAAGTTTTTTTGTTAATTTCAATCAATCAATCAATCAATCAATCAATCAATCAATGATCGCTTGATTAATTGATTGATTGATCGATTGATTGAGAAGACAGAGGTCGGCGAATGTCGGCGGAGGTGGAGTGGAGGTCGGTGGAGGTCGGCGGAGGTCGGCGGAGGTCGGCGGAGGCCGGCGGAGGTGGAGCGGAGGTCGGCGGAGGT